ATATGTGACCTTTTCACAGCAATCCAGTGGAAAAAATGCCTTTCAATGTGCACATTGAAATAAATAGTATAAATAGCATTCACTTATCCTGTTGCTAGTTTTAATTATTTTTCATAGGTAATTGATGTGTGCAGAAGAAAACACTACCACTTTTGACCCCATTTAACAATTTTTAATGAAGACATAGCTCTATTTTGGTGGTCCCAGATACTGTCCTAAGAGCACAAAGCCTATATCATGACTACAGAGAGTTCTATAATTGAAATTACTCTTTGTGGAAAAAAGACCATGTCCCATGTCTGGTTTTTTTTTTTTTCTCTCTCTTCCTGTGTCCCTCTCCTTTTCCCCTATCCACTTTCTTTTAGTACTAGTTTCCCAGAAAGATCATCTATTTTAGCACCCTGTGATTGAAATCCACAAATAACTGTTAGGAAGGAAGTTTCCCTTTTTGTATCTTAATGTATTTCTTGACCTATCAGTCTCAGTTTTCAACTAGCTGTCACAAAATTCTGAACATGTCTGAAATTGCATCTTTATATCTTTTCCATATCCTCCTCCAATCTCTTCCTCCAGCTTTTCTCAATTCAGAAAATGGCATTCCCATGCCCTGTTGCTTAAATCAGAAGAATTCATCCTGGAAATCTCCCTCTCCCTCACCTTTCAATCACCTTTTCACCTCCTAAGTATTTCTTCAGTACAGCTACTGTGTGTCTTCACTACTGCAACCTTGGTCTATGCAACTATCTTCTCTACCTGGAGAACCGGGTTCCTCTCCTTGTCTCCCACATGTATTCATTCTTTTACCTGGATCCATGTAGCAAGTGGATAAATTGCATCATGTCACCTCTGCTTACAACACATTAATGGCCCCTGTTTCTGTCCTCATCTTCAGTTTGCATGTTTGTCCCATCTCTAAGAATCCTCCAGTCCCAATGCCGGCCTTCCTCCTATGGGAGCCTCAGATTCTTCACAAATTTTATTCTCTCTGCTCAGATTTCTTTCCTATTTGCACTCCTTCTCATCTTACTTCTCTTAACTTTGAAGTACTAATTCTTTAGTTTAAGAGTCAGATACTACAAAATCTGGTTTAGAACTCCCTTGATATTCTCTTAAAAATAGCATCCTACTTTTTCTTTCAAAAGATGAATATAAACTTTTAGTTATAAATTTGTGTGTTTGTATCTTTCCAACATCACTGTGTTGTTCACAAATACCTAGCAACTGGAACACTTACTGGCATGGAATAGGCAGTCAATATTTGTTAAGGACAAGGAGTGAGCTACTGAAGGGATTGTTACAGAATAACCTATTTTTTTCCTTCTGACTCTATTCTAGCCGACATACCCTTTGGCTATGACTTGTCTTCTCTTACTGCTTGACTAATAGAAGGGAATGTATTGATTGGATTTATTTGGGTCAAAGATGTTGCTTAAAAATTGATGTTTAGGTGACAACTCAAGTAAGTTCAAGTGCAGTTTAGTTCATGTGCATCTTCTCTGAGGTCCTGAGAATGGTGAACTGTACCTCCAGACTTGAGGTCAGAATCTGAGCATCTCAAAATCAATAATGTCACCCATGATCCTCACTGAAGTCAACCTGCAGACCTTTCCCCTCAGCGACTCTCTGGCATCATTGTTGACTTGAACTTATTTTTCTTTTTGGAATGTCTATGCTGAGTAACTTGGAAAGTATTGCCAAATTTGGGGCAGTTACTAAAGATAGAAGTTACCAAATACAGTTGTTATCAACTGTGTGTGCCATTTAGGAGATTAACCAGGCCAGACTAATTTTAGGCTAGGACTTCTGAACTTTTCAATCAGGTCCTTTATGCAAACCAGATTTTAGTGGTTTGGAAAATTCTATTGACAGTATGCTAAGGGGCCTAGCACAAACTGGACAAAAGCACTACACATTGAAAGGAATCTATGAGATCTTAGATGCCAGGGACTGTGCTGTTGTATTTATATTGTCTCGTTCATTCTCATCATAACTTTAGAAAGCACAGTTGTAGGTTATCGACCTCATCTTACAGATAAGGAAAACAGGGTGTCACAGTGTAGTGAGCAGTAGAGTTGAGAAGTGGATCTGTGTCTTGCCTGACTCTAGTGCCTGAACTCTTCAGCATTACATGCAATTGTCTTTTCCTGACTCGATCAAATTCCAACTCTTTGGTGTGGTGTCAACTGGTTTATCTCATAACAAAAAGATCTGTAAGTCTGATTTAGGTCATGAAAACAATGCTAATGGGTCATTGAAATATATAATTGGATTTTGTTCATGAATTTCTTCAATAAAGAATTTTTGAAGAACTTCTCTATACCAGCTCTTTTGTGAATTCTAAGGAATGCAAAAGAAAAGATACACAGTCCCTTTTCCCCAGAAGTTTGCAGTTTCACAGGAAATAGGCAAACACCCAGACATGCACAGTGCAGTCTGATCAATGCTGTAAAAGGAAGCCAGATTCTGCGGAATCAAAGAGGGGCGTCATAGGAATTTGATAAGCTGACATTTGAAGGCCAGATTCAGGGAGGTGAGAAGGACAATGCCAGCTTTCTGTTCACGTGTGCAGATCTGGGAGGCCTTTGGTAACTCAGTATCATGGGCATATCGGTTGTAGTGGGTTGGAAGGGGCAGTATTTTCAAGCACCCAAGCCAAAGTCATAAGCAAAGGGTCAGACCACATCAAGTATTTATGCTTCTACTCAGAGTTCCTTGGAAAAGGAAAAGAAACCAAGCCAAACTAGCAGTAATAATGAAGTTTGACTTTTAGGCTCAGGTTTTTATCCCCAAGTAACTGAAATCTCAGTGTCTCTTACTTCACGATCACAAGGAGAGAGAATCAGTCACCGAACAGTCCTCTGAATTATGTGTCTGTCCCTCCTCGGACTGATAGGATGACCCAGAAGAATGTGTGGATGAGAAGAAAGTGCATTAGAGCTAACCAAGGTTGGGCTTCCATTGCAGGAAAACCCTTCTAGGGGCAATGGATGGGAAGTTCCCCTATACGAGACAAAAGCAACAAAGTCCATCTAGCAATACACTCTGGGTCAAAGAATAAAAAAGTCCTGATTTTTTTTTTTTTAGAGCACATTTATAGAAAGCAAGAAAAAAACCCACTCATTAAAACCACAAAGTTATTGTTTTAACATTTAAGGCTACTCCCACTCAGGACTCCAAAGTGTAATAACCATATGGCTGAAATAATTTGAATGTTGTTATATTGCTATTGCTATTGATTTTTTAAAAAATGAGTATGTATAGCAGTCACTTCAAAAATAAAATACTAACCTAAATATCTTTTCCTGAACTCTAGCAGAGAAGGCTGGCGATACCAGGAGAGACGCTTAACAAAAGGGGGCTGAGTCCCTGAGTGGCTGCACGGAACAGGGTATCCACAATCCTCACTCATATCAGTGACGTAAATGAGAACGGTATCTTTATTTTATCAGGCAACTAAGACTTGTTAAAGCAACCTCAGTTGCTGACTTAGACGATGCAAGTAGAATGATAAGCAACCGTGCTAGGCCTGGCCTGTGCCTATCACTCCCCACCTCTGAACAGGACAGAACCTAACTGCTTTGTAAGTGTGGGTCCCTAAGTGAGTGTGTGGAAAGGGGTTCCTGTTGACCTGTTTACAGCACCATGCTGTTATGTGAGAAAGAGCTGAGCTTCTATTATGGTTATTTAATAATACATTTGGGGTTTATTGTTGCAGCTGTTAACTTACCCTAAAGAGCTACCAACTATTCTGGACAAGTGAAAATTTATAATATAACATCTTTTGTAGTTATCATGTATCATACACTGCCCATTTAAAAAAGTATCTTTCCAAGGCTAATAAAGAAGAATGTTCATAAAGAGATGTAAAAAAGTTTAAACTGAATTTAAAAAATTATATATAAATATTTTCCTCTAGCTAAAGTAAGCTTTTTAATAATACTCTCAAATTCTGTGTTGGTAAAAATGCTTAAAAAGACTTACTATTTGTTTCTATGTCATCTATAGGCTAAAAATTTGTGTAAGTAGTAGAAATTGTTATGTTTTTCTGGTATTTTATAGTTTTATACATTTTACTGAATTACTAATTTAAAATTTTGTAAAATTTTATAAAAGAATCTTTTTCCTTCTTAGATACACATAGATTTATTTCTTATTTTGAGTAGGAACTAGTTCCACTTACATAAATCTATTGTTTACTAAATTACAAAACTATAAAAATTAACTTTAGAATTCACAAAATAGATAAAGAGAAAGGGCCAAAAAAAAAAAAAAAAAGCACATCTTAGTAAAATATGCATAGTGAGTTACAGAATAAAGCAGTGTATCACAGGTTTTAAAAATCAGTAAGTCATAAAGGAGGTTATTCTCTTAAATCATTTCTCAATGCCTTTTACAAATTGTCTTCTTGATTTTTATTTTAGTTTTTCTTTCTTCAAATATAAGAATTTTACCATATATACTGTTATGTATATTGAAAATATTATAATTTGGAGTAACTGCAAACAACAAAGACTACCAGAGAATGTATCTTTTAAATCAGTGAAGCTCAAAAAAAAAAAAGTAGGAAATACTACAGAGTAGCAAGAGAACATATGCTTCTATCTCCAATTCAAAATACTTGATAATTTTTAAAGTTGTGCTCTTTGTATCCTGAAGTGCAGAAGAATTTGAAGGTCTGAGTGTTGACTTTTTTTTCACAAATCAATGTTTATGTGAAACAGGTACATAACAACAGTGGCTTATAGGATAGAATACAGAACTGGAACACACATTCTCAAACGTCAGTGGTTGTTTATCTGTGGAAAACATGACACTAGTGACAATACTTTCCTCTTGTATAAGTGAATAATTCAATTATTCTTTAAAATTGCCTAAGCATTTTGATTTAAACTATTTTTATTCTCTTCATAGTATTTTCCTCTTTGAAAAACTTGAAGTTTTGTTTTTATATTTTCCATGTTTCCTCCTATATTAAATTTCTATACTTAAAAAACTCACCATTACTTATTAGCAATATAGATAATTTTGTGCTTTTCAATGACACTAATGTCATGTTCCAGCTGTTTCATTTCTTCTTCTAGCTTCTGCTTGCGAATCTTCTTTGGTATGGAGTCAATGAAGACTGACAGGGACTGGAACTCCTTGTGCACCTCTTCCCAGTTCTTTTTCAATCCCTGCAAATGATAAAGAAAACAGAAAATACAAAAGCATATTGAAAAAGCAAAGTAAATGGTAAAGAAATGATATTGGTAGCAAAGAATGTAAATAGGTACAGAACTTAAAAAATGTCAAAAAGAACTTTTAAAATGATATGTATTTATCAAGGACTTGGCCACAGTAACACAAAAAACTGTGCAGAGGCCAAATTCTGTCCTCGATTGTCTGCTCAGTGCCCACTGGGAGTATTTATTTGCTCTGTTCTTGGTGTTACCGTACTTGTTTTTATCATCAAATATGCATATGCAGAATTGTGAGTATTATGGCACTAAGTTCACAGCAAATGCTTGGTAAAAGCCAACAGTTTGAGAATTGATATCCCTACATTTAAAAAAATTGAGCAGAAAACTATTTCTTATAAAAATTTTACTTTTTTCACTAGAATTTTATTTTTTCCCTCATTATTCAACAGAGAAATCTTATTGAAAGACTTGATTCTGACTTGTATGGAGATATTTTCTTATATTTGGCAAAGTGGGATTGTAAAAAATGCCCAAATACAATTTTACAAAAGACAATACTTTACAAGTATTTTCAGTATATTAGATAGAACAAATCATCCTCCATATCATCAAGGGATCTATACTTGCCATTAATGTGTTCCAAAAATGATTGGAATGCTGTTAAACCCAAGACATGCTAATTCAGTAATGTAGTTAATGCTTTATAGTCTCAGGAATCAACAAATTCAAAATTAGGGCTCTCTTAGGAGCTATAAAGGTTCTTTTCCACCTCTCCCTAATTATATTTCTTATTATGGTTCTCCACTGACAAAACGGTCTTAAGGTACTAATTGAATTAATTCAATAACCTTTTATAAATTAACACTTTTTACTGTTCATTGTGGGTACACAGATCATTTTATTTACACAAAAGCATAAAGGAAAACAAACAGTTCAATATAAAATATTGTAGGAAAAACATGGCTCTTGAAAGCCATGGCTATGTCTGTAGGCATAAAAGAGATTAGAACTATCTTATGTAATAATACCTCACAATAAGCCCTCATGGTACAAACTCAATTTTGTAGAAACTTTTTGGGGACAATAAAATGTCAATGATTTAGTTCTATGCTTAGGTAAAAAATAATTATAGGACAGGGTGCACTGTAGAGAATAGGTTGGTTGGGGAGAAAAGGGCAAAAGGCTTTGACCCCTTATTGAGTGAAATTAAATCAAAGCTCTGTGAAGGGGAAGAGATAAAGGAGAGAAAAAAGCCTCCAGGTTGAACTTTGAAAAAAGGGAGATAGGTCAGCATAGTTTTTAATAGAATATGAGATGTATTCTAAAAAGAAATCCTCAAAGAATTCTGCTTCTCCATGGCCTTTCATTATGAAATGTGACATATGTTTCCACAGTGCTCCACTGGGGTGTCTACTGCAGAGAGGAAATGTATATATTTGTACACTTTCAAATATCAAAGGTTTTTCAGAGCTTCTTGGGTGATATTTCCATATTACTTATGGTCACAGCAGCTACATTTTTTCTCTGGATTTCTTTTTAAAGGGTAGTTTGCTTTTATCTTCCAGCGTGTACAATAATGTTTGGATCAAAGTCAACAGCTTGGGATGGAAACTAAATGTAACAAATAGTTCATGTTGTGTTGAAGTAGCCTCCTTGCTGTTTGTAAGGCTTTTTTTTGGTTATTTTATCCTTTAAAAGGATCTTTTATCCATGATAGCAATAGCAATTTTCCATTATTTTTTATTTCCATATTTTTCTTCCTTCTATTTTAATGCTAAGGTAATATTACTAATTTGGGAGAAAAATAAGTAGGGAGAAGTGCTCATATCCTGAGGAGTGCCTTCAGTTTCATGTTCCTTTTGTACCCACCTCACCCTCCAAACTTTCTCCACTTCCTGCCTTGCTCAGTAACTAGGCTTGGAAGGTGGGAGTCAAGTCTTGGGGGCTGTTCTCTTGGGTCTTGTGCACCCCTCCACCCCCTCCTCTGACTGAGTTCAGCCAAAGAAGACCTTGGTGGGAGGAAAGAGTTTGGTGCCTTTCTTCTCCCTCTCCCTCAACACTATCTGGACAATAGCTAGATTTCTAACTGCATTTATCTGTGACTATGATGCCTGTCAGGTATCCCTTCTTTAGGGCTCCAGCTCACGTTAGGCTCCCATAACACTATTTATTGTCCTTGCCCTTCAAGCATAGGTGGTAGTAGAGAGTTCCCTTTTCCTTAGGCCTGGGGATGCCTCTGTGATCCTTGTTGGTTCTCTTACCCTGTTTCACTTCTGTAACTAGGTCTTTCTGAAATTCTCTTGAGAATCCCAGCAGAAAGTATCTTCTAGTTCCTGCTGGGGTCCTCATTCAGACAGCTTCCCTGCCTTTCTCCCTGTGACTGTAGCCATGAGGTAGTGAGGAAAACACCAGCCAGGAGTTGGTAAATGTGACTTTTAGTCCCTATTCATCCACTGGATCATTTGTGACTAAGAACAAGTATAAACCAAACTTGAAGTTCATTGACAATAAGATTGCATTTGTTTTTCACACCACAGTTTCCCTCAGCTGGATACAGTGCCTGGAACAGGACAGATGTTCAACAAATGAATGGATGGATGAATGGTGGATGAGCCGACTTACTATACCTGCATTTTGTGTCCTCATCCGTAAAATGAGAAGTTTAGACTCAAGACCAGATGCTCCCTTCCAGATATAATAAGACTGTTATTTTCATGACAAAAAAACAACAAAAAACCCAAACAAACAAACAAAAAAACAAAACAAGCAGGACAGAATTTACTTTGGGCATGCAGCCATATTGCCATAGAACTCTATGCAACTTTAACCAGGGAGGGAAGCATAGCTTACAGCTTGTTGGTAGTGGAACTAGTGGCTTTATTACTATGGCCACTGTGCTCCCTAGCTAGTAAGGCATCTGATGGAGGATTTGCTATTCATGCATCAAAGGGTAACTCTGGAGTGACCAGAAAATGAAACTGAAGGCTGTATATCCATTATACCCAAAATGAAGTGTGTGTGGTGTGTGTGTGTGTGTGTGTGTGTGTGGTGTGTGATTATAAGTTTTATAAGAGTCCAGGGCACTAGTCAACACTGAAGGATGTAGATCTTTAGCTGAGCCTCAAAGTGCAGAATAAGAAGGTGTCCCAGACAGCAGGAGTGGCTTAAGGGCAAGGACTATGTCTCTTTGTTGACAGTGGCATCCCCAAGCCTAACCCAGGGTCCAGCAGAGGTAGATGGGAGTTCTGCCTATTTTCTGCTTCTTCTTTTTTTTTTTTAAGCCTAACTTAGGTATAAAATCCTACTTTCACAAAGGCATGTACTTTCTGAAAATGGTAGAATCCAAACTGGAAAGAAATAACAGGCCAAAAAGCAGCAGTCTCCCCAAAAGTGATGTGCAGACTCCACTTTCATGCCAGCCTGTCTTCCACTCTCCTTTGCAGAACCCTGTTATGGGAACCTCTGCTGGATACTGGACCAGGCACCAGGGATGCCACTGTCAACAAAGAAACTCAGTCCTTACCCTTAAGCCACTCCTGCTGTCTGGAATACCTTCTCTCATTCTGTACTTTGAGGCTTGGTTAAAGATCTTTATCCTTCAGTGTTGACTAGTGCCCTGGACTCTTAAAAAACTTGCAGTCTACACACATACACACACACACACACACACACACACAACACCATACACACACAACACACACACACACACACACACATACCTGTGTATCTACACATGTATAGATGCACATATTACCTTTCATCAATTAAATTAAAACAATCTCTACAGCAAAAAATTTATTTTATGCCTTTTAAAATATTCTCAGGGCTTAGCAAGATAATGTTTGCAGAATAGACATCTAATAAACCTGTATTGGTGATTATGATGACACTGATAAAATGCTAAGAATTTGTAACAGTATATGAATCCATTTCCAGTAGAAATTAATGATGTAAAAAGAGTTTTCTCTGTTTTTATGAAGTTACTAGAAATGGCGTTGTAGAAAGCTTTCAAAATAAAAGAGCAAAGAACAATTTCACCTCTGTAAGAGACAGCCTGACTGTGGATGAGAATAAGCAGGTGCTTAACAAATACTCTGTACAAATGTTTTAAATGCTTTAGATAAAAGCCTTGCATTAAAAATCCAATATAAATATACCTTTGTGTTTACTTTATTCAAAATAAAGACAATATGTGTAAAACCTAACACCCGGTAAATTAATAATTTTGATAGTTGTATAATAAGAAAGAGAAAAAGTAGGTTAGATAGCTTCAATTATTCTAGAGCTCCATCTAGTGAAAAATGTCTAGTTTATGGGCATTTTTTTTTTTTTTTTTTACAAATTCAGGGGAGTGAGAATGAAAACTGCCTTATTCATTCATGTTGGTGATAAAAGAATGTAGTCTTCTTTATAACACAAAGTCGCTAAGTTGGAAACAAAATATTATTCGATGAATCCCTATGTTATAATTTCTTGTTCTTTCCAAAGAGTCAGCTCTACTGAATGGAGTTTCTTACTAAAACCAAAACAGTCTATTGGTTTCAAAGTCAAAATGTTATTTTAATAATCAAGTTGATTGTAGAGTGGACAGGCCTTTCTTTCAGAGATGTTGCTAAGAGTTCTTTACAAGTAGAAATTACAGAACACTGACCTGCAGAACCGCCTCCCTTTCCTCATCAGACAGTCGTTTCATAGCTGCTTTCTTAAGGTTTTCCTGGATATAATTATCATATTCTTCTTGGGCTTTCTTTACATCCTCATTTCGCTTACATATGTATTCAGGTGTGATGCCATAATCCTGTAAGGATTTTTCAGCAAAAATATCATCAGTATTTTGAATGCAATCTCAATATGTATGTACATAGAAACCAATAACTAGAGAAAAAATTTTACAGACTTAAAGACTTTTCTCAAAACACTGCATATTGACATAATTCAATAATTTTTTTCCCCCAAAAGGAGTAATCTTTTAAAACTGAGAAGTTATTGTGGTCATTTGTTTTCCTCTTCTGAATGTCTCCAGTGCCTGTTTCTGGCTTGAAACTCCACCCTTACTGTACCTCTAAGAGTTGGCCTTTTCTTTTCTATACTTTATGTACATCTGTTTTTATCTTGAGTTCTTTTTCTTGGTTAAATAAAAGGAGACACAAGGCTTTATGAAAACATACTCTTAAAATTTAAGAGAAAATTGGCCTGGGACCCTACGGTTGTTTTTGGAAAGGCAAGCTATATTTTTTGGCTCCTGGGCTTCTTAGAAGACTGACAGTAAAGCCATCAGCTGAGGTTCTTTCAGATTAATGGTCTGAAAGATTAATGCTACTGGTCTATAGAGACAAAAAAGTATTTGAGAATGTACTTGGTGCTAAGACTGATAGTGAAGAAGTACCGGGCCTGGTGGTGCATTTCGTCAATCCCAGCTATTACGGAGGCAGAAATGGGAGGATTGCAAGTTTGAAGCCAGCCCAATAAAAAGTGGGAGACCCTATCTTCAAAAATAAAATACAAATAAAAGGGCCAGTGGCATGGTTCAAGTGGCAGAGTGCTTGCCTAGCACACACAGGGTCAAGGTACTGGGTTCAATCCCCAGTACTGCAAAAAGAAAAAGATGAATAAGAAAAGCAAAGCTTCTTTCCTTATGGAATTTTCATTCTATTTGGTGAGAGACACTCACTGAATATAAAGTGACAAATACATCCCTCTGTATTTGTCAGTTCCAAATCCATGGGTTCAACCAACAGTGGATAGAAAACTTATTGAATAATTGCATCTATACTGAACATGCACTTTTTTTCTTGTCATTATTCCCTAAACAATACAGGTAATAGAGGATTCCAAGATGGCGGCTAGAGGGAGGAAGCAGAAAGCGAGCCTCCTATAGTGAAATCTTGGAGAATGCTGGAGACACACTTTGCAGGCATAATCACTGAGAAGAGGCATAACTTTGACCCCTCCACACCTCCAGCCGGCACATGAGAATCTCCACTTCACGTTTAAATGGGAGAAAAACAGGTAGGGTCCCCGGGCGCCAGTAACCCGCGCCCAGACTGGCTTGGGAAGACGCCAGACCAGGCCCTGACAATGTGGGTGGCAGTGTCAACCTTCCAGTGGCTTGGAAAAGGGGAAAGCCTGTAGCAGAGGCTCACGCACAGGAGAACTCTGAGTAAAAACAAAGCCTGCAGGGCCAGGTGAGTGCTAAGCTCACCCGAGATCTGCATAAATAACGCCTCCAGCAACAGCAGGCTGACAGCAGCGGCAGGCAAGCCACAGCTGCAGATACCATTCTCAGAACTGTCTCCAGACTCTTTTTTTTCTTTTTCTCCCTACCTTTGATGAGAGAACAACCGAATTACACCTGCAAGCTGAAAAACTTACTGAAACTGTATTGCATTTGAACTTGGGACACTTGGTGGGTTTTGTGGTGTGTGTGTGTGTGTGTGTGTGTGTGTGTGTAGTTTTGTTCTACTTTATGCATCCCCTTTGATGAGACAACTACAGAACAACATCTGAGGCACCATCTCCAGGACTGGAGACTGAGACGGACACCAAATTATTAAGACTGAAATTCATTGCATTGAACTTGGAGTTTTTTGGTTTTTTTTTTTTTTTTTATTTTCTATTTTCATTTTATTTTATTCATTTTTATATAGATATTCTTTCATTTACTTATTTTTTATTTTTATTCTTATCTTATTTTTTTATTTTATTTCAATCCTCTCTGTCTCTCTAATGCTGTTCAGCTTACTGTCATTAGTACACTAACACTCCTGTTTATACCTTTGAAACTTTCTTGTCTGACCTTGTTCTGTTTCTCCTCTTGTCTGTTATTTGTTTTCCCTTTTCTTTAACTTCTTGCTTTCCATCTCAGCTCACCCTTCCATTCTAAATATTACCATTGTTATTATTACAAGCTAGAAAATACTTAATTGCACACAGTACAGGGACAGTAACAACACCAAAGACAATGACGGGAAGACAGAAAAAACAGGGAAACCAGTTTCCCACAGCAAAAAATTAGTACAGGAACCAGAGGGAATGAAGAAAACAGAACTCAGATCCAGACTCCAACAAAATGAAGATAAACTATGCCAAAGGACCCAATGAAGCCCACAAGAATAATTTAAAAGAAGACATACTACAAGTACTCAATGAGAATTTTATAGAGATGATACTGGATAGGGTCAACCAAAATGTACAGGAGACACTCAAGAAATTCCAAGACAACAAAATAGAGAATTTGAAAAAGCAAAAGAAGAAATAAAGGAAACCATAGAAGCACTGTATAAACACCAAAGTGAAAGAGGAACATGAAATGAAAAGGATAAATGAACTCAGGACAAAAATAGACAACATTAAAGAGGAAACCAGCCAGGATATGGAAAACCTCAGAAAAAAGAATGAAACAGAACTGCAAAACATAACGGAAGGCCAATCCAGCAGAATAGAACAAACAGAAGACAGAATCTCAGAACTTGAAGATGAAATGGTAATTAAAGGAAAAACTGAATAACTATTAATTAAACAACTCAAGACCTGTGAAAAGAAAATGCAAGAACTCACCGACTCCATCAAAAGACCAAACTTGAGAATCATGGGCATCGAAGAAGGAGAAGAGGTGCAAGCGAAGGGAATGCGTAATATATTCAACAATATAGTAATGGAAAATTTCCCAAACCTAGAGAAAGATATTTCCATACAGATGCAAGAGACTTCCAGGACACCAAACAGACCAGATCAAAACAGAACTACCCCACGTCATATCATCATTAAAACAACAAGTTCAGAAACTAGGGAAAGAATATTGAAGGCTGTAAGAGAGAAAAAACAAGTAACATACAAAGGTAAACCCATCAAAATCACAGCAGACTTCTCAACAGAAACATTAAAAGCAAGAAGAGCGTGGGGTGAGATCTTCCGGGCACTGAATGAAAATAACTTCAACCCCAGGATACTCTACCAGCAAAACTATCATTCAAAATAGATGGAGCAATAAAAGTCTTCCATGATAAGCAGAAACTAAAACAATATGTGACCACAAAGCCACCACTACAAAAGATTCTGCAAGGGATTCTGCACACAGAAAGTGAAACCCAACTTAACCATGAAAAGGAGGCAGCACCAAACCACAAGAGAAGAAAAAGCAAGACAGTAGAGAGTAACCTCAAGTTAGGTACACACAATCAAACCTTCAAACAACTAAGACAACTAAATGACAGGAATCACCTATACCTATCAGTACTAACACTTAATGTTAATAGACTTAATTCCCCCATCAGAAGGCACTTTTTGACGAAATGGATTAAAAAGAAGATCCAACAATTTGTTGCTTACAGGAGACCATCTCACGACAGAAATAAGCATAGGCTTAGGATGAAAGGCTGGAAGAAGATTTACCAAGCCAATGGCCCCGAAAACAGGCAGGAGTAGCAATACTTATCTCTGACAAAGTAGACTTCAAACCTACATTGATCAAACGAGATAAAGAAGGACATTCCATACTAATAAAAGGGGAAATAGACCAAAAGGAAATAATAATCATCAACTGTATGCACCCAATGTCAACGCACCCAATTTCATCAAACATACCCTGAAAGACCTAAAAGCATATATAAAGCCAACACAGTGGTTGTGGGAGACTTTAACACCCATTATCATCAATAGATAGGTCATCCAAACAAAAATCAATAAAGAAATCCAAGATCTAAAATATGCAATAGATCAAATGGACCTAGTTATGTCTACAGAACATTTCATCCAACTTCTACACAATATACATTCTTCTCAGCAGCCCATGGAACCTTCTCCAAAATAGATCATATCCTAGGGCACAAAGCAAGCCTCAGCAAATATAAGAAAATAGAAATTATACCGTGCATACTATCTGATCACAATGCAGTAAAAGTAGAACTCAACAACAAAAGTAAAGACAAAAAACATGCAAACAGCTGGAAACTAAATAACTCATTACTTAATGAAGAATGGATCATCGATGAATAAAAGAGGAAATTAAAAAGTTCCTGGAAGTCAATGAAAATGAAAACACAACCTACCGAACCTATGGGACACAGCTAAGGCAGTCCTGAGAGGAAAGTTTATAGCCATGAGTGCATATATTAAAAAGACTGAAAGATCCCAAATCAATGACCTAATGATACATCTCAAACTCCTAGAAAAACAAGAACAAGCAAATCCCAAAACAAATAGAAGGAGAGAAATAATAAAAATAAGAGCTGAAATCAACGAAATAGAAACCAAAAAAACCATACAAAGAATTAATGAAACAAAAAGTTGGTTCTTTGAAAAAATAAACAAGATCGATAGACCCCTGAAACCTGACTAAAATGAGAGAGAAAAAACCCAAATTAGTAGAATCAGGAATGCAAAAGGGGAGATAACAACAAACACCATGGAAGTCCAGGAAATCATCAGAGACTACTTTGAGAACCTATATTCAAATAAATTTGAAAATCTTAAAGAAATGGACAGATTTCTAGATACATATGATCATCCAAAACTGAACCAAGAGGAAATTAATCACCTGAATAGACTATAACACAAAATGAAATTGAAGCAGCAATCAAGAGTCTCCCCAAAAAGAAAAGTCCAGGACCTGATGGATTCTCTGCTGAATTCTATCAGACCTTTAAAGAAGAACTGATACCAACCCTCCTTAAACTGTTCCATGAAATAGAAAGGGAAGGAAAACTGCCAAACACATTTTATGAAGCCAGTATTACACTTATCCCAAAACCAGGCAAAGACACCTCCAAAAAGGAGAACTATAGGCCAATCTCCTTAATG